CAGCTTTTATCTCAAACATCACTGATGGTGGTGGAAGCCTAGGAGCAAATGTCTGGCATAGGGATGATGGGCTCATTGTAACTGGCCTCATTTCTGCCTTCCCTGAACTCCATGATGTGTCCATAAAAACATATTCCTGCAAAGAAACTGACGGTGTGATTTGTTAAGTATCATATATGATATCTGCACTTGTACCTGAGGTGTTATCACAATGACTCTATGTGGGAGAAGGCCATGCATGGGGAAGGTGAAAAAAAAAAATCTCAGGTATTCTTCCTTGGATGAAGTTGCTTTTACACAGCAAGGAAAAAAAAAAAAACCAGAAAAACAATTCGGGCATGCGTGTCGGTTGGCGTTCCTGGGAGCTTTACGGTCCATTGGAAAACTGCTGGATTCTGAGTGCTTGGGAAGACACGGCTGATCCTACCCAGGGGGCATGAATGCCTCTGTAATTCACGTTCATGCCAGCTCAGAGATACATTCAGATGCTGTGTATGTCACATACACAAGAGTCAGCTTCTATTTAATTTTCTAAATCAGAAAACCATTTGGGGCTTGCTAGGCTGCAGGGGAAGAGGAGGGTTACACATCTGCATAATGGAACTCAGGCCAAGGATCTGGTGGTGTTTCCTGACACAAAGGTGAATAACATACAAGCCAGCATGCAGAGTTGGAATTAGGGGCAGATAATACGAACAGGCCATAGCTACTCTAGGAGACTGGAACCTTCCACTTGCAGCTTCCACAGCAGGAATGAATTTAGGTGGAGAGGGAGAGAGGGACTTTTGCATATCTGGATCTACACACATTCAGCACAGAGTGCAGAGACGTGTACACCCACACCCACACATAAACATTGGTGCAATCAGTTTACCCACTAATGAAACGCAGCCGTGTCAGCGTGGAAGCCAACAGCTGTTGACCACCACCCAGACTGCCTACTCAACACTCTGGGATAGGAAGTAAGAAGGAAGTCTGAAGGGAGGAGGGGGAAATTACCAAGAGACCCCAGCTATGTGGCAGCAGCCATCCTGAACATTACTTAAGCCATGGTTTAAAAAAATCAGGTGTGGTGTGCCTTCCTCCGCAGACATGGTCCTGAAGACTTGCATGCAAAGTGAATTTTTGTAAATTGAATCATCATTTTAATGCAGTAGGGGAGCTCGCTATTTAAAGGAACCTTTCATGGAATCTTTCTGTAATGGAAATAATTGGCTCCAGATTTATACATTTTGTAAATTTGCATTTTCTCATGCTAGGTCTTCTTAAAGTGGAATCTACCTGTTCTCTCTCACGATGCCTCTGCTCATACTAAGTCACTTCTTTGCACTGAAATAACTTTATCCAGGAAGACAGCACAGAGAAAATTCGGTGCAGAGTAAAAGCAGAGAATGACAAATACAGGGCAAGCTGCCCCCATCCCCAGGCCATGACAGACATCACTAATCAATTCCAGTACTCCTCTTTGCTGAGTCCTCAAGTACCACAGATGCCTTCCTAAGACAGCAGTGTCGGCAACCAGAACTAATCAATTGGAATTGGTTCAAACAATAAAAAAAAAATTTACCATTCAGAGAACTGGCTCTACAGTGACTCCTTAAGGCCACATATTAATGGGTTTGGATCCTAAGTAAGTGTACATAGCCGACCTGCGATGTGAAGAAGTAGTCCAGACCATGGTCAAGTACAAAGAGGCCCCAGGGAAACAATGGAACCTGCCACACCTTTGGCGCGGGACTCATATCAATGCTCTGTAGCCGGCTCGGAGGCAGTTTACACTGCCAGAAGTGCTACACGGCAAGGTGGCCCCACATACCCACAGGCAAAAGCCGGGCCACCTTCTTGGAGCAGCAATCGTGCTAGTGGATTTCGGGGTGGGGGAAGACGAGGCTCCAATTTGGATGATAAGACATTTTGCTGAATGTTAAAAGCAAATCTGGATACATTAAAGAGTAGCTCAAACAAGGACCGCAGGGGGCAAACCTGCTGCACTGGCTTTGTCCCAGGCTCTCGGGTCCTGCCGTCCTCTCTCTGCTCCACCACATGGGAGGGTGACTCTCCCTTTCTTCTATGGGCAAGGGTGACTCTCAGGAGTCCAGCTGCTCTTGGGACTTCAGCAACATCTTTGTAGGTGAAGAAGAAAACCCTCGCTTGCCCCTGCCCTGACTGAGTCCTTGTCTGAGAAAGAAAGAGGAGCAATTCAGAAGACCTTTCTATATGGAGTCCCAATGTCAGCCATGCTCCTTGAGCTTGCACTGTATACCCAGGTGTGGAGTGTGGTGTTTTCCCTAGTGTTCATGGTACCCAGCCTGTGAGATGCTTAAACAGATGGTACATGAGCTGGGGACAATGGAGGCCAAAGATGCATGCTTCTTATCGCAGTGATTTAAAACTGTCAGTGCACTGTGCCTTCCCACAGGTTGGAGACACTGCAGGTCAAACCTATGTCCTGCCCACTATGTTCCAACACACAGCAGGAAACTTGAAAGTGATTGAAACTCTGATTGTCAATGTTTGTAGTCTGCTAGATTTTTAAGTACAGGTGATGAGTCAAATGACCAGACTTACGGCTCAATGCATCATTTTTTTAAGGAAGGTGATTAGAATGACACGTATGAATATTCAAATTTCTATCTTGTGCCTCCAGGCACTACAAACAGCAGTTGGCAGTGAAAATAATTACTTATCTTGAAACGTCAACAGTTTCTCAGCACAGAGACTTATAAATCAAATTGTTTGGATTAACAAACATGGAGTTATCATTTGTTAATATGAGAAATGAAATGTTACAAGTGCAAAAAAACACTGCAGATGAAAAACTCAATTTGCCGGTATTCTGCAAGAACCACAAATTATCTTTCACAACCACCACAGCTCATGAGCGGTAATTTACAGACGCCTCACAGATTATTTTCAGCTGTTTATTGCTGCCACCAAATTTACAGATTCTTCTGTAACACTGTCCTTCCACTCAGCTGCTGAGGACTGCGCTGGCCCCAAATCATATTTAGTGTTGCTTATTTGTAAAGAAACCATCTAAAACGTGTTTTCATAAAATCATATTTGGTACAACTGTTTGGCTACAGCTGGGCAATATTTTTGTGAGAGACCACAAATGCACAAGTGTGCAATGGCCATGCACAGTGAGACAGAGAAGATAGAAAAAGGTACAACATCAGTGAAGATTCTAGAGAAAGATCCAGGTACAACTTTGTATCTCAAGAGCTCTTACAATTAAGGCAAACAGCCTGCACTCCTGCGGGAAGAGTCTTGTGCTTAAGATTATACAATGCCACTCAATACTTGACATTATCATTTTCCTTTACAACCATGAAAGACTAAAAAGTGATTCCCACACAGAGGTCTTCTGGAAGGTCCATAAAAAGGAAATCTCAGAACTGAAGATAAACAAATACCCCCCGAAACACAACACACTCATCTTAGCCCACATTACACAATTTTAGCTACTGCTGGAAACCTGTAGCTTTCTATTGCATATCAGGAAATACTTTTGCCACTTACTCACCACTGTACTCTCTGTTCAGTGCTCTTGAGAGAAATGTACACACACACACACAAAATGATGCGGCAAGCCCACGTGACATTACGGGGCCTGTAGTTTGTACGTACAACTTCAGGGAGTCACCTTGCTTGCCCTGTTGATGAAAAGGCTTTACTTTTTATGCTCGATATGCAAGGAGGACTCAAAGAAATTTCCATCCCTTTGCAAGAGGCATTTTCATTTTCTATCCTTTTAGATGCTCTGCTGAACTCTCCATACTACATCTCCCTGCAGTGACACTGAACATTCATTTGGATGTCATCCAGCCATACAGGCTCATCAAGAAGACCCAGAAAAATAGTCAGAATATACGGGTGTGGGGAAGAGCTTTGAAGATCATTCACTGTAGGCCTGGCAAGTTTCAGAAGAGCTACCACCCGCATCCTTCTCCATCAGGACATGGCTAACAGGTCATGGCAAACCTATCTGGTGAGCCCAGACAAGGCCTCAGAATCCTTTTAAATCTGTTCCCCAGGTACTCACTATAGATCAAATGGAGTTGACACATGAGATTAAACCTATTTGCTCCCATGATGTGGTTCAAGTGCCTTTATTTTACAGATGGGAAATAGAAACATGGAAAGTAAAAGAAACTTTCCCAAAGTCACAGGAATACTTGATTCCAGGACAGAAAAAGACAATTACAGGAGCAAGGGATTAGCATGAACCATACGCCCTGACTGGCACCATTCTTGGTTCATTTTACAGTGAACCATAACATCTAGACTGTGAATTGTATTAGCTATTTACACAGAGATATAACAGCAGCACCACCCACGCAGAACACCCGATTTTTTTGCCATAGGTTTTCTGAACATCATGTTTAACTTTGGCTGTACCTTATGGTACTCAAAGCACATGGGTACTCCGCTACATTAGAGGTTAAACGATACCATCAGAAAGTGTGGGAGGTGAGTCAAGCATGGAATGGAGGGGGAGTGTGGAGAGAAGTCTTCCGGAGATTGATCCCAGCCTGGGCCTTGGGATACATTTGGAGAAGTCAGAGCGAGCATCCTCACCTGGCACTGCCAACATTTCCAAACCAGCCAGTAAGTCACTTTTCCCCACCCCTGGAACAGGAGAACAGCAACAGGAGCTAAGGCAAAATGGGAAAGGAGCATCCTTCCAGCAGCTCTGACTCTGGGAAGGCTATTCTTGGAAAGGGAGTGGAAGAAACTGAGTGATAGCCTCTCGCTATTACTGGAGACAATGATCACATTAAACTCAGATTAGGATGCTAGCTAGTAAATAATGTGTTTCATTGAAAGGAGAATAAACACCTGAGGAATGCTCTGGCTTCTGTATGGCTCACTCTTGCTGATTCTGCTGCGTCAGCTCACGCACAGTGGGCTGTTCCAGAGATAACTCTGTGGTCCAGTAAACCTCAAGGAACTGAACCCTGTAATAATCCCATGAGTGAATATGGGAGCATTCTTTT